TAAATTTCCAGTAGGTGCACAGGCAATAATTAATGATGTTTACGTTGATGATGTCTTGACTGGTGCGCGATCGTTGTCTGAAGCAATATGTAAGCGTAATCAAATCATTACCATAATGTCAAAGGGTGGTTTTGAGCTCAATAAATGGTTTTCTAATGACATCAGACTTTTAGAGGGACTCCGGTCTACAGGTGGTCAGGAAAATGTTCGTCTAACCGAGAGTTCTACGATTCGCATACTTGGAACGCAATGGAATCCACATGAGGATTCATTTTGTTATACAGTTAATGTGGGAGACATGCATTCAAATGTTACAAAAAGAAACATGTTGGCTGAAGCGTCATGCCTATTCGATCCGTTAGGTTTTATCGGACCAGTCATCCTCATATCAAAGCTAATGATACAGGAATTGTGGAGATTGCAATTAGACTGGGACGCTTCGGTTCCGGTAAACATACATTCACGTTGGTTAGATTACAAGACACAAATATCTAAACTAGTTGAGCTACGTATTCCACGAATGATTGGCCCAACTATGGAAACACTAGAAGTTCAATTTCACGGATTTGCTGATGCCAGTCAGCATGCATACGGAGCGTGCTGTTATTTAAGGATACGTAACTCGCACAATGATTGTCATACACATTTATTGGCATCCAAATCGCGAGTTGCACCAGCAAAGGCAATATCACTACCGCGTTTAGAGTTGTGTGCAGCCTTGCTGTTAGCTCAGTTGCAAGTAAGTTTACTTAAGGCAATTGAATTTCAACCACATCAAATATATCTGTGGACTGATTCCACCATTACCTTGTCATGGATCAAATCAAGCTCTTACAAGTTTGCAACATTTGTATCTAACCGTATTGGAGAAATTCAGAGACTAACCAAAATCAAAGATTGGCATCATATTTCCACTAAACATAATCCTGCAGACATCATTTCTCGTGGGGCAAGCTCTTTGGATTTAATGCAATCGAAATTATGGTGGAATGGTCCAGAATGGTTATCGTCGGACGAAAAGGATTGGCCTGATAATCATCCACAATACCCGGAGACGTTACCAGATCAAGTAAAGGTCAATGTACA